CAGTTACCAAAATCAACTGATTGTGCATATCATGATGTCCAGTGTGCTTCTTCACTTCAAATATTATTGGTGTTGAATATCTTCCAACTTCCGTTTACCGTACTTACCATATGGTTAAAAGTGTTAAAAGCAACACTAGACTCAGACTACTTCATATTGTTCTTGCTTCCAGAGGAATGACTAAGAGAGCATCGCGTCTGCCATTTTTTCCTCAGGGAGGTGTGTCATCCGCCCATCGTTAACAGAAGAGGAGAAGATGCCAGCAGAGTTCTACTACACATTAAGTTCGCCGGGAACTAGGCGATGGTGATGTACATGTCGTCAGGGAGGCGAGTTACTCCTTGTGGAAGAGACATGATATTACAGATTGTGGACTGTGGACCGCACTATGAGATGGTGCACAATGTGAAACAGATCCCCCTAGTGGAAATCAAAATAGAAAAGGGCGTTAATGCAGTAGTAGATGTATCTGCAGGATGGGGGAGGTAGACGTGACGTGGAACCAGGGTCAACCCTATCGTTGGTACTTTTGGAATTTTTTTACGACCCCCCCCCTTCATGGGCGATTTGATACGACCCCCCCCCTGTATGTAATACTTGTGTGCAAGGGGAGGGAATCCCCTGGGTGCGTGGACCATTTCGCTTAAACTTTTACACCCACCCGGAGCTCCCCTGCAAAAAGTGGATAACTTCACGCGATATGAACTGTCGCACCACATGCCCCCTTACCGGATGAGACCCAAAAAACCGATAGGTGCAATAATATAAAAAGTAGAGGTAGCAAAGGAATGGAAACGCGTATTGATCGCGTTTTGAATGTGCTGAATCGCGCCCTGACGATGGAGCGCGTTTGCTGATCGGGAACAGGTGACGAACGGGGATATTGAAATGTAGACGAATTTTTCTTCGTTAAATTTCAGGTACTTCGGAAGATGGAGGTGGATTTTGGATCACCGAGGCTCAGCCTTCTAAGTAAGCTCATTTGTTCTCAAACAATTTGAAATGAATAAGTTATTAGCAAGAAATAAAATTGCACTACAATTTTTACCTTCCTCTTTCTAGGGCTATAACTTCCTTCATATTCAAGCTTTTGCGCCGAAGTTATTTGATTTGAAAAATTCAAATTATTCTCTCTCCAATCATGGCTAAAAATTCTTCGAAAGCTAATTTAATAAAAATTTAGCACGTTGGAACTTTTTTCTGTGCAAATGCGACTTTTCAACCTTTAAACGATCATAACTTTGTTCAAAGTCTGTCGATTTTCGGAAAGCTGAACTCAGGGTGACAAACTTCAGATTCAAGCTTTCTAAAAAGTACGACGAGCATCCTAAAAACCAGTAGTTGAAAATTAGTCCCGTTGTGACTTTTTTGGAGGGGCATTCTTCAAGCCATTTTCTTGAACACGGGTTTTTTAGGTTTCACTGGCCGTAACCTCCAGAAAGCAATTTCGTGTTGAACATATTACGTGCTTGAAAGCTTCGAGCATGCGCTTGCAACTGATACCCTGCCTTTGGTGCGCACACTCGGCTGCTATCTGTTCGCGCTGCATCAGAACTGCGAAGGGTTTATGGATATCTGAGTTATCAATTCTTGCGTAAGCGTACCGTTGACTGGCCCTACTCATCCATGTTGTCTCAAGGCATATTAATTCAGCTAACACTGTTCAGTTTCTTTAATGTGGTGTGTTTCCGCTGGCCTGCAACATATCCACTCAAAGAATCCCCATGCCGGGCGCTCGAAAGAGTACGACCCTGCAACACATACGTCTGCGTGGAATCCCTCGCATCAGTGTTGTCTTTTTTACGTTAGGATGTAGAATCACCAAGCACCACCGGCACACCGAAACAAAGCGGCTTTGTCTGGTAGACTGACGTTGAACCATGCTGGCAAAAATGGTATTCAGTTAACCTGTCCTAGATGTAGTTCTAGCACGAATGAAACAATCTGTAGCATATCTCACATAGATCGTTGTGCATTGTCAAAAAACTCCCGCCTACCTTAATGGACCGTTGGGAGAGGTTAGTAGGAAGTGGCTAGAGTGTACGTGGCGAATGAGAGGAATGAAGAAGAGAATGAGGGTAGCGATTGATTTGAGTGAGTGTATAGAAGAGGCTTAGCGGTTTGCAATAAAGGGTTCCTCACTCTGGACTCCCTGCTTACACACACCAGCTCATTTACTCATTATGCTCAACCAATCGCAACCTAAAATACTTGCCTACTTCTTTGCTACATGAATGCGACACTAATAATATTTATACAAACTCTACATTTTGACTATATACACGACACACCGTTGAAAGAACTAATGAAAGAAGAGAATGGAAGAGACTACAACATCAAACATGTTCAGATTAACCATAGTTAGTAAATACTTCGGAAATTCTTACCTATATTTTTGAATTTTTAAATTTTGTTTTGCTCACAAATAATGCTGTTATTGTAACGAAGCAAAATATTATATTTACATCAAAGTTGCTATGAGTGGATGTTTTACTTCTTGAGGATTTCTTCAACGCAACGCTCAAAGTTGTTTCCATGCATCCTCACAACGCGGAACACTTCTTCTGCCGAAAATCCCATTTCAATCATACGGAATGCCTGAATTCGACCCATTACGACTAGAACTGTTTTACTAAGACCTACTAAGCAGCAATCATGCAATATCGGTTAGAATACACGAAACATACAATTCCTTGGTATTCGCTCTGTTGGTCCATGTTGGTGCCTGGTGTGGGCGAGAGAGTCGGATACACACTCGAAGTCTGAAATACCCATTTCTTTCCAACAACCAACGTGGGTAACATTAACACTAAGGCACAGAAAATTGTGCACTCTTGCTTTTAGTGTATTGGAGTTCAAGTCACACTCAAAGACACGAACTGATCACAGACCTTACATTCAAGTGCTGCACATCATTTGCAGAAATTAGCACAATTATTATGCTATTGAACGAAAATGCGACACCTAGCATAATAGAGATTGACATAATTTATTACCTCGTTGGGTGCGTTGCTCGATCCAGCACCATTTGATGCATTTGACTTCAACGATAGTTTTCTGACTTTCGCATGCCTTCAAAAAAGTCACACAGTTAGTGGAACATCCGACAATGCATAAGCAAAAACGAGAACGACAAAACATACGGAGAAGCTCTGTCGGAGCAATCCTGGAAGCTTTCATGAGACAGTGTTTCGAAGTCGGAGTCCTCGCTAGATTCACTGCTGGATTTGTCAGAGCCCTATAAAATTACGCTACAAGCACACGAAAGCAAAGGAGCTCAACATTACGTCACGAAAAATGTCACTTGGCATACCTGGAGATTTGTAGGCGACGTCTTCTTGGCTTCACCACTAGCGGTCTGAAATGGATTATCATAAGTAAGCCTGGCCCGTACAGATGCTTGCTTCTGCTTGAGTGATGCATGAGTACTTATAAAACAAACCTTCCATGCTGAAAATCTTCCACCCGGCCTTCTCGCAGTTCTTCCCGCCTTTTTGCAACATGCAGGACATTGCCAACGACCCACACGAGAAACGAAAACAT